TAAGTAATGTGCATCAGGCAGTGTGAATTCAGGATGTCTAATGTTCCATTAGCTTATCTTGCTGAAAATGTACACTTTCCTGCCAGATTCTGGCACTAAAATGTCACATATGGGGAATAAATGTTAAGTGTGTGTTGCCTGGTTTTTGCTTCCAGGCGACAAAGCATAGTCACTGGTACCAACACAGTGGAACAAATGAGCAGAACAAGTAGATACAAGTGAGCAAAAGGTCAAAGTTTATTAAAGCACAGAACACTCCAGAGAAGGAAGACATCAACCTTATCAAGTGGAGAACACCCTGGGGTAGTGAGATTTATTTTCCCCTTTCATGCTGATTTTCCAAATCTATGTTAAGTGGTGGTGGGGGCAATAAATTTACTATTTTTACGGGAAAAGAGGGAATAATTCCTGAATGGAGAGTCCTCCCATTTCTATCCCTGTTAAGCAATTTCCACAAGTTGTCATAGTATTTATAAAATGTGATAAAAGTGAAAACTTTACTGTGTTTATGAAAATGGGTCACTTGAGACTACTGTCACCTTACTTGTATGCATGCTGCGAAGATCCCTTTTTGTGGCTGTGGCCCTGTCTCCACACTGGGGCATCTCTACCTCTGAGAGCCATTTTTGTAGAACAACATCAGTTCAGTTTTTGAAAACCTTCCTGAAATGCTTTTCTTTCTTGGTAGCTAACTCTGATAATTTTGTTCCTCTTATTATGGACAAGGGATCTCCCAGAATCATATGCTCCAGTTTCTCCTTAGTCCTACCAAACAGGATAAACTTTAAGATATGATTGACATTTGTACAGCATTTCTTCCATAGGAATTATGATTAGAAAAGCCTGAGAAATATGTAATGACATTGTATTATTCTTCACATATATAGAACATCTCTATGAATAAGACTCAACACTCTCTTCAAATTTGTAGGGGTTTTCTTTGTCATAAATTTCATATAGAGAATGTTTTGAGCAGAAGTTAAACACTTGTCACATTCTTCACATTTATGGCATTTCTGTTTGAAATTCTACTGTATATAGAAAACTGTGATTACCAGCATAAAGCTTCCCCACACCTTCATATTGTGATGTTTCTCTGGCATGATTTCTCTTATGTTTACTAAGGGACAATAATCAGTTAAAACCTTTGCCATATTATTCTCATTTATATAAGATTTCTTTCCAATATGAACTTTCTTACGTGTAGTAAGGTTTGAGCTCTGGTTAAGTGCATTGCTACACCATTCACAGTTGTAGGATTTTTCTCCAATGTAAATTGTTATAATCTTAGTATGTTATGAACAGCAAGTAAGGTACTGCCACATTCTTTGTATTTCTAGGGTTTCTGTGTTGTTTTATTTTTGTTTGTTTTTCACACTGGTTTTACCCTGAATTAAAGGGTTTGCCAAACTATTCATATTTGTAACGTTTCTCTCCAGAATGAATTTTATGATGTGTAGAAAGATTTGAGTAATGATTAAAGGCTTTTCCACATTCTAGACACTTGTGGGGTTTTCCCCAGAATGAATTCTTTTATGTATAGAGAGATTTGAGGAATTTTTAAAGGCTTTTCCACATTCACCACATTTGTAGGGTTTCTCCCCAGAATGAATTCTTTTATGTACAAAAAGGTGTGAGTAATCGTTAAAGGTTTTGCCACATTCTTCACATTTGTAGGGTTTTTCGCCAGAATGAATTCTTTTATGTACAGAGAGATTTGAGGAAGTTTTAAAGGCTTTTCCACATTCTCCACATTTGTAGGGTTTCTCCCCAGAATGAATTCTTTTATGCACAGACAGGGCTGAAGAATTGTTAAAGGCTTT